GAGAAACGTACTGACAGTGGGAATTACTGTGTACTAAAAGTCTGTATCGAGAAGAGAAATAATAAAGTGGTTTAATCAAGAAAGGACTTGTATCGCTGTAGTTTCTCGGAAAGAAATTCTACCGGAATTTAACAAACAAGCAGATACCTAACAACACCAAGCATTATAAGTATACTAACTATTTAATAACACATCTTGTTTACAATTCAAGGCCATTTATTTAATTTTATACATCAACATTTAATACTTCCAGAATCAATTCTCTGAATAACCTGTTTTAACGATAACAACTTTAACACAAGCTTGAATTTATTAGTACTTTCATCCTAAACAACGATTCAGATATGAGGAAACATCTCGTTATTTTGATTTTGTTGCCTTTGCCCAACAGAAGTTTCTACCACGTTAGAATTTATAAAATAGAGTTAGCTGTGATCGTATTAGAGTAAGAAATATTCGTAAAAGATTGCTTCTACTTTGAAAGCAAAACGTAATTAGTTATCCAATGTATTTTAGTTACACTTGTGAGAAACAAAAAAATTAACTAACCAACTCTACGAGGGAATAAATACAACAAATATAAATAACTAGAAACCCTTTAGAAGTGAAACGATCAGACATTGATCCAAGGTTTAATAGAGAATAATAACATTTAATTTTAGAAACATAATGTTTGTTTATTTCTTCGTCTGAGTGACGCTTTGTGCACAAAAAAAGGGCCTGCGATAGCGGGGGAGAGGGCTCCCCAATGTCGTCCCCCCCAAACTAATGCTGGGTATTAATCTCATTTTAGATTTGGCCTCGTTATATGTCTCATTGTCGTCCCCCCCAAATAGGCTGAACTCCAGGTCAGAGATATCTATAATTCAGGTATATTCATCTCTAGTTTTAAACTACGGTCCAGAGAGAAAGCAGCACAGTTGGCAGCACACGTCGCCTAAACAGGCTACTCTTAACCGACTAGTGAGATTAAGTGTCACTCTTATAACGCACCCAGCAACACATCTCGAACCCGAATTCATTAGAGGTCCAGTTCAAAGCGTTCACCAATAAACCATGCTCGCGCTGGTGGATTTTCGGATTTTTTTGTTGTATGAGTATAAAGATTTATAATAAAAAATCTAATTCATACAACCTGAGAGTTATCAGACCCCCGGCGGGACAGCGGTAAGTTTACGGACGTGCAACGTAAAAATTCAGGGTTCTATTACCCATGGTGGACACTGCAGATATCCCCATTTGATTTTCCTCTAAAAGAAACAAAGAAGCAGGGTTATTACATTTATTACGAATTATTTTCTAGTTTAAATAATGCATGATAATTTTAAAAGAAGCAAACCGTAGCTGGTTCTAGAGTAAATCAGTCTAGTTGTTAACAAAAACAATTCTGTCAGCCAATATATGTTTTAGTTAGAAAGGAATCGCAGATCGTGACCTTGTGGTTAGGGCGCTCGAGTCGCAATCTGTGGGTAGCGGGAATGAAACCAGTCGCTGAACAAGTTAGCCCCTTCAACTGTGCAGGCATTATAATGTGACGATCAATCCCACTTTTAGTTGGTAAAAGAATGGCCGAAGAGTTAACGATGGGCAACATCGAATATTTGCCCTCCCTCTAGTGTGCGCAAATATCCAACGCAATTTACAAACCAAACTCGCAGATCAAACTATTTAATATTCGATACCAAATGGGAAACATTTTTACGGGACGGAAAATATAAATTTGGTATCGTTTTAGTTACAGTTAACAAATTAAATATTCAAGTTGGTAGTCAGTTGCATAAGAACAACTCATTGATGCCATAAAGTAATTAATATGTGATCATTTTGGGATTTCCTATTCGTTTCGTATATCACAAAATTGTGAGTGGTTTATCTATATTTTTAGAGACTCCAGTTGAATATTTATTTTTACAACGCTAGTTACGGCGTAGTTTCTTATTTCCTTATTTGTCCACGAATTTCTTAGTAGTTTCTTTATAAGAAGTATATGGAAGTTCGGTTATGTTTTTCTGTTATTTTTATACAAGTGTTACAATTGATTCTTCACTTTTTTGTATATATTCTATAGGCTTGGGACGTTATACAACTGGAGGAATTGAAGTGGAACTTTACTGCGCATGCACTGTAGATCTGCTATCATTTTTTTGGAGTGACAATGGATTACATGGGTATCCAAGTAGAAACTCTTGAGCCAGCAGAAGATTTGGAAGCTGAGTCTACGACGGAAGTAGTCATGATCTCTGCTTTGTGTAACATTACGGCTGCTAACTTTACTGGCTGTAACGTCACTGGTGAAGAAGTTTCCAGCATCCCAAGTTCTCAGCTGGAACGGATCGTTAGCATTGTGGTTCCTATCCTTTTTGGAATCATAGTCATCGTTGGATTGATTGGCAACTTGCTGGTGGTTGTGGTGGTCATTTTCAATCCTCTAATGAGATCAACCACCAACCTGCTGATCATCAACCTGGCTGTGGCTGACCTTCTCTTTATCGTATTCTGTGTGCCCTTCACAGCCTGGGACTATGCGCTTCCTTACTGGCCTTTTGGCGACATCTGGTGTCGCATAGTTCAGTACCTGGTGATCGTGTGTGCTTATGCTAGTATCTATACTCTCGTCCTCATGTCTATGGACCGCTTCATGGCCGTCGTGCACCCAGTCAGCTCAATATCCATCCGCACGGAAAATAACGCCTACATTGCCATCACAGTCACGTGGTCACTGATCCTCTTAGCCTGCTTGCCTGTCCTTCCGGCTCATGGCGAAGTGACCTATGATGTGGGGTCACATAAATACTCCATGTGTGTGTTCCTTCAAGAAGGCTACAACTACCCTGCTTACCAGGTATCCTTCTTCCTCTCCTCTTACGTGGTGCCCCTCGTGCTCATCTTCTGCCTGTACGTGCTGATGTTGAAGAGGTTGTGGTTCCACGTGGCTCCGGGAGGAAAAGTCAGCGCCGGGAGCCATAAGTCCAAGAAGCGGGTTACCCGGATGGTAGTGATAGTGGTCGTCATCTTTGCCGTCTGCTGGTGTCCCATTCAGATCGTATTGCTTCTCAAAAGCTTGGACAAATATGAGTTGAAGTTACGACCCAGTCGAGTTATTTTCCAAGTGGCTTCACACATTCTAGCTTATATGAATTCCTGCGTTAATCCGATCTTGTACGCTTTCCTGTCCGAAAACTTCCGCAAAGCTTTCCGCAAAGTGGTTACATTCGTACCCACCAGACGGCGGTCGAAGTCGAAGAGCAATAGACAAGCTTGCGAACCTGCCGAAAGAGAGACAGCAGCCACAAAAAACACCTTCACCACAAAGCTAAATAATGATATTGTGTGAAAAAACGTTTCAAACTATAGTATCGTCTTGTTGTTCCCAAACTACAGTGTCGTTGAATGTTTTCTTCTGTCGTGTTAGTGCTCATCGCAAAACTTCTGTTCAGAGGATCCTTCTTATCAACTAGAGTGACTGCTAAAAATTATAACTATGTCTTGGTGATTCAATATTCGCTCCTTATTATTGTCTACATATTATTCATTTCATTTACGGATATTGAAACTTTTGCTAAACAAAATCACGTGAACTATATTTATTAAAATATTAAAGGTTCGACACTGACTGAGATGTGCCATTTACATTGACTTGTGAGTGGATAATACGTTCTACAAGAGGTCAGTTTCAATAACAGGCCGAAGAACATTAATGATTTAAAACAAACTTAATATACTTAAAACGAGGGTTGTATTTTATCTTGGCTTGTGAGTGGATAATACGTCCTACAGGAGATCAGTCTCAGGAGCAGGCCTTAGAATATGGTTGATTTAACACAAACTTAATATACTTAAAACGAGGGGTATATTTTATCTTGACTTGTGAGTGGATAATACGTCCTACAAGAGGTCAGTTTCAATAACAGGCCGAAGAACATTGATGATTTAAAACAAACTTAATATACTTAAAACGAGGGGTATATTTTGTCTTGACTTGTGAATGGATAATACGTCCTACAAGAGGTCAGTTTCAATAACAGGCCTTAAAACATTGTTGATTTAAAACAAATTTAATATACTTAAAACGAGGGGTATATTTTGTCTTGACTTGTGAATGGATAATACGTCCTACAAGAGGTCAGTTTCAAGGAACAGGTCTTAGAACATTGTTGATTTAAAACAAACTTAATATACTTAAAACGAGGGGTATATTTTATCTTGACTTGTGAGTGGATAATACGTCCTACAAGAGGTCAGTTTCAGGAACAGGTCTTAGAACATTGTTGATTTAAAACAAACTTAATATACTTAAAACGAGGGATATATTTTACTTGTTGTTTTTCAACGTGTGACACGTGACTCAAAACACTGTTTATCCTCGATAACCACAGTTGCAGTGAAAATAAACTAGCAGCGATGCCAAGAAATAAAACATCCGCAACTTTGGTGTATATAATAGACTTCAAAATCAAGATTACAAAGAAGACCTCATCTTATAAGTGGTTATTCTACTTTACTGGTTTCGCGTAGCTAAAGATCGTACGTGAAAACGGAAAAAGAAAGCTTTTGCACGAGGAGACTCTGAACGGTTTTCCATTGCAAGAAGGATGAGAAATGAAGAGATGGGGGTCCTATTATCTTAATAGATGTATATATATATATATATATATTGTTAACTGTCAAAGTTAATGTTGTTCTTTTCACTCATATCTTTAAGAATTCAATGTTGAATAAAATTGTTAATTATTGTGTTTTCTATGTTGTGCAGCGAGGTAAGGTCTGGCTTGGTTTCCTCGTGAAAATGGGGCTCTACGAAGGAAACCAATTCACCTGCCGATAGCACTGCGAGTTAATGATATTGTGGCAGAAGATAAAATCTTTGAGAATAACTACTGAGGTAAAATTGTGAGTAGCTTCAGCTTGTTAGTATGGGGATTTATTGAGGTGAAATTACGAGAATCCTGAGCTCGTTAATTTGGTATTCAATTGAGGTGATATTGCGAGAAAACTGGTTTTGTAGCGATATTGGTCGAACCCTTGAAATATTGAAGTATACGTGTATTCAAATAGATATTTTCTGTACCTTGTTGGTTGCATGTGCGATATCAATGTTTTTGTATGGAGTTAGTATGCTTAAGTAAAGTTCAACATTGTGGACTGAAGGATTCATTTATCCAATTTTTAACAATTGCTCACAAAGGGATTAATAATTATTTCAATCGATGTTTCCGAACATTATGGACCATTGTATTCTGGTAGTCAGTTTAGCACATCTTCTGGTAGTCAGTTTAGTACATCTTCTGGTAGTCAGTTTAGCACATCTTCTGGTAGTCAGTTTAGCACATCTTCTAGTAGTCAGTTTAGCACATCTTCTAGTAGTCAGTTTAACACATCTTCTAGTAGTCAGTTTAACACATCTTCTAGTAATCAGTTTAACACATCTTCTAGTAGTCAGTTTAGCACATCTTCTAGTAGTCAGTTTAACACCTCTTCTAGTAGTCAGTTTAACACATCTTCTAGTAGTCAGTTCAACACATCTTCTAGTAGTCAGTTTAACACATCTTCTAGTAGTCAGTTTAACTTATCTTCAAGGCTGCTATTTCTGAAATACAATGACATTTATTTGTTAACATACTTTTCGGACACCCTATAATAAATGGTCTAGAATTTTTATGAGTTTCAAACTGCTTAGATCTGAATAATCGCCACACAAATCTTACAATAGTTTTTTTTTTACGTAGACTAACTAGAGTTTTCATGCTATTTGTAAAATACTACTAAACATAAAATAATGATTGCGCAATTACACTTCTTTTAACAGAAACTGAAGTGAACACCTAGCGGAAAAATATATATTCAGTTATATTATTACTCTTCTAGTGGCCCAATGGCAAATGTGTTGGACAGCAGATCAGATAGTCCAAGTTTCGAACCGCGATATGCTAGCGTTTGTTTGTTGTTAAGCACAAATCTACAAAATGGGCTGTCCGTGCTCTGCCCACTGCTGGTATCGAAACCTGATTTTTAGAGTTATGAGTCTTAAGACTTATCCCTGATCAAGAGGTGAGGTGGGCGATATGTTGCTGAAAAATCCCACATTTTTTAGCTTTGGAGGCGATTACTGTGACACTCGTTGTGTTCTTAAACCAATAATTGTCGGTGGTGCTATTGACTGGTCGCTCTTCCTCCGGTCAACAGTTTTAAACTTTCTTCAAAATCGGAGTTTTGTTACTGAAGAGAAATTAGAATTGAAAACTTTTACATTTTGTGAGCTTAACGAGACTCGATGTCAGAAATCTTCATGGATCTTTTTTACTTTTTATCTTATACCACTTTAACTCTAATGTACATCCAGTTTCTTTAATAAAAACTCACAAACGAATACGTTTGTTTTAAAAACCAAAAGAAACGAGACATTTAGAGAAATCGATATTTCCTACTTAGAATAATAAAGCGCCTTAAATTTGAAATACTATGTTGTTGTTTTTATGGACAGAACCCATAAAATCCAAATTTCGCGAGATGTTCAAAGTCTTCACCGTTTTTATTTTAAGTCTTTCAAACTCTTTCTTGCAATTAAAACAATAAAATATTTAATGGAACTATAAACTCCTTAAAAAGAGTATCACCGTTAATGAAGTCTTTAATGGAACTAAAAACTCCTAGAAAGATGTGTCGCCTTTAATAAAGACTTTAATGGAACACTAAACTCTCTGAAAGATGTATCACCGTTAATGAAGTCTTTAATGGAACTATAAACTCCTAGAAAGATGTGTCGCCTTTAATAAAGTCTTTAATGGAACTATAAATGCATAGAAAGATTTGTCACTTTTAATAAAGTCTTTAACAGAACTACAAACTCTCAGAAAGATGTATCATCGTTACTTAAGTCTCTAATGGAACTATAAACTCCTAGAAAGATGTATCGACCTTAATATTGTTGTTACTGGAACTATAAACTCTCAAAAAGATGTATCACCCTTAATGAAGTCTTAAATGGAACTATAAACTTCTAGAAAAATGTATCACAGTTAATAAAGTCTTTAATGGAACTGTAAAATACTAGAAAGATGTATCACCGTCAATAAAGTCTTTAATGGAATTATAAAATCCTTAAAAGATGTATCATAGTTAATAAAGTACTTAGTGGAACTATAAACTCTAAGAAATATGTATCACCGTTAATAAAGTCTTTAATGGAATTATAAAGTCCTTAAAAGATGTAACATAGTTAATAAAGTCTTTAATTGAACCATAAACTCTCAGAAATATGTATCACCGTTAATGAAGTCTTTAATGGAACTATAAACTCCTAGAAAGATGTACCACAGTTAAACAAGTCTTTCATGGAACACTCTCAGAAAGATATATCGCCATTAAAAAGCATTTAATGGAACAACAAACTACTAGTAAAAAGTTTCACCTTTAACAAAGTCTTTAATAGAACTAGAAACTTCTAGAAAGATGTGTTACGTATCTGCTTTTTTGTTTGTTTTCGGTATAAATTATTTCCGAGGAACTTCAGCGATACAAGTCCTTTCTTGATTAAACCACTTTTTATTTCCTCGATACAAACTTTTATTGCACAGTCGTTCCACAATCAGTAACAACTATTATAATACACGATATAAATCACAGCGATTTGCAATCTATCTCTTCGCAGGCTTTCCTGCCAGGCTTATATACTAACGAAAAGGCATCTCCAGCATTCGCAGGCTACCCCGATAATTCGAGAAACTCATCACGCACGCCACAGCGTCACGTGACTTTCGCTGTCGTAACAGATGTTTAACAGAACACGAAACTACAAGAAAGATGTATCACCGTTATTAAAGTCTTTAATGAAACTATCAACTTCTTAAAAGATGTATCAACGTTAATAAAGACTTTAATCGAACTATAAGCTCCTAGAAAGATGTGTCGCGGTTAATGAAGTATTTGATGGAACTATAAATTCTCAGAAAGATGTATCACAGTTAATGAAGGATTTATTGGGAGTACAGACTACTAGAAAGGTGTATGCCGTAAATAAAGAATTTAATCGAACTATAAGCTCCTAGAAAGATGTGTCGCCGTTAATGAAGTCTTTAATGGAACTATAAATTCTCAGAAAGATGTATCACCGTTAACTAAGACTTCAATGGAGCTATAAACTCCTTAAAAGATGTATCACAGTTAATGAAGTCTTTAATGGAACATTAATCTCCTAGAAAGGTGTGTCACCTTTAATAAAGTCTTTGATGGAACTATAAATACCTGAAAAGATGCATCACCGTTAATAAGATGTTTAATGAAACTATAAACTCCTTAAAACATGTATCACAGTTACTACAGTCTTTAAGAAACTATAAACTCCTTAAAAAGAGTATCACCGTTAATGAAGTCTTGAATGGAACTACAAACTCCTAGAAAGATTTGTCACCTTTAATAATGTCTTTATTGGAACTCTAAACTCCTAGAAAGATGTATCACCGTTAATAAAGTATTTTATGTAAAAATAAACTTAAGAAAGAAATATAACAGTTAATAAAGTCTTTAATCGAACTACAAACTCGTTAAAAGATGTATCACATTTCATAAAGTATTTAATGGAACAAGAAACTCCTAGAAATAGTTGTCACCCTTAATAAAGTCTTTAATGGAAAAATAAGCTTCTAGAAAGATGTATCACCGTTAATAAAGTATTTAATGGAACTTTAAACGCCTTAAGAGATGTATCATAGTTAATGAAGAATTTAATGGAACAATAATCTCATAGAAAGATTTGTCACATTTAATAAATTCTTTAATGGAACAACAAACTCCTAGAAAGATTTTTCAATTTCAATAAAGTCTTTAATAGAACTATACACTCCTAGAATAATGAATCACGGTTAATAAAGTCTTTAATGGAAAAATAAACTTCTAGAAAGATGTATCAGCGTTAATAAAGTGTTTAGTGGAACTATATACACCTAGAAAGATGCACCACAGTCAATAAAGTTTTTAATGGAAGAAGAAACTCCTAGAAAGATGTATCGCCGTTAATATAGTCTTTACTGGAAAAATAAATTCCTAGATAGATGTATCACAATTTATGAAGTCTCTAATAGAACAACAGTCTCCTAGAAAGACTTGTCACCTTTAATAAAATCGTTAATGGAACTATACATTCCTGGAAAGATGTATCACCGTTAATAAAGTCTTTAATGGAACAACAAACTCCTAGAAAAATGTATCACCGTTAATGAAGTATTTGATGGAACAACAGACTCCTAGAAAGACTTACCACCTTTAATAAAGTGTTTAATGGAACTATCCATTCCTAGAAAGATGTGTCAACGTTAGGAAAAGTTGTTAATGGAAAAATAAACCCCTAGAAAGATGTATCACCGTTAATAAAGTGTTTAAGGGAACTATAAACTCCTAGAAAGATGTATCACCGTTAATAAAGTGTTTAAGGGAACTATAAGCTCCTTAAGAGATGTATCACCGTTAATAAAGTCTTTATTGGAACTCTAAACTCCTAGTAATATGAATCACTGTTAATAAAGTCTTTATTGGAAC